TGACACTGTCTAACCATCTCATCCTTTGCCGTCCCCGTCTTCTTTGACCTTCAATCTTTCCCAGCATCAGGGTCTTCTCCAGGGAGTGCTCCCTTCTCATTTGGTGGCCAAAGTATTTGAGCTTCAGTTTCATTATCTGGCCTTCCAGGGAACAGTCAGGGTTGATTTCTTTGAGGATTGACTGATTTGTTCTTCTTGCAGTCCAAGGGACTCTCAAGAGTCTTCTCCAGCACCATAGTTCAAAAGAATCTATTCTTCGGCGCTCGGCCTTCCTTATAGTCCAACTCTCGCAGCCATACATGACTACTGGGAATACCATTGCTTTGACCATGCGGACTTTTGTTGGCAGGGTGATGTCTCTACTTTTTATCATGCTGTTTAGGTTCGCCATCGCTTTCCTCCCAAGGAGCAGGCGTCTTTTAATTTCATGGCTGCAGTCACAGTCTGCGGTGATCTGGGATCCCAGGAACGTGAAGTCTGTCACTACTTCCACGACTTCCCCTTCTATTTGCCAAGGAGTGATGGGGCTGGATGCCATGATCTTAGTTTTTTTTATGTTGAGCTTCAAGCCCACTTTTGCGCTCTCCTCTTTTACTCTGAGCAAGAGGCTCTTGAGGTCCTCTTCACTTTTTGCCATTAGAGTGGTATCATCTGCATATCTGAGGTTGTTGATCTTTCCCCCAGCAATCTTAATTCCCGCTTGTGATTCATCCAGGCCAGCATTTCACATGATGTACTCTGCATATATATTAAATAAGCAAGGTGACAATATACATCCTTGTCGTACTCCTTTCCCTATGCTGAACCAATCAGTTGTTCCATATCCGGTTCTAACTGTCGCTTCTTGGCCCTTATACAGGTTTCTCAAGAGACATGTGAGGTGGTCTGGTACTCCCATCTCTTTAAGGACCTGCCATAGTTTGTTGTGATCCACACAGTCAAAAGCTTTAGCATAGTCAATGAAGCAGAAGTAGATGTTTTTCTGGTACTCTCTTGCTTTCTCCATAATCCAGCGAATGTTGGCAATTTGATCTCTTGTTCCTCTACCTCTTCTAAACCCAGCTAGTACTTCTGGCAGTTCTCTATCCACGTACTGTTGCAATATTTTGCTTATTTAACAGTGTCTGAGAACTGACACCCCTTGCTCTGAATTACTGCATCAAAATGTCTGTGCTGTTGCAATCTTGACTCTGCTGTTCAGGTGTGTCTCTGTAAGCTGCAAGCCTATGATGATTCAGCAGCAGCAGAACTGGAAGAAGAAGACAGCCAGTTCTACTGCGGGCCTGAGAGAAGCCCTCCGGGGGCTTTATGTGGCTCCCAGGCCGCATGTTTGACACCCCTGGTCTAGGGTGATTGGCCCAGGCAGTATCTCAGGTCCAGTGGGCCATAGATGTCAATTGTTGTTGTTGGTGGTAATGATGGTGGAGGTAGTAGTGGCGGTGGCTCCGTTTTACAGGCTCTGTGGAACTGTGAGAGGTCTCGCAGGGCCCTGGTCTCTTCTGGGAGCTCATTCCACCAGATTGGAGCCACCACCGAAAAAGCCCTGGCCTTAGTTGTCACTAATCTGGCCTCCTTGATGCTCGGGAGAGCCAGTCGATTCTGGGTCCCTGACCACAGTGCTCTCTGGGGTACATATGGGGAAAGGCGGTCCCTCAGGTATGCAGTTGGTTGGTCTAGATGACTCCTTGGTATTCCTTTTGCACTGGTGCTTACAAAGCTGCCCAAAGGATACTCTCCAGGAGCATGTTCAGAATCTCACTTGACTTGCCAGAACATCTCGGGGAACTGATACTCGATTCGTAATACAACCAAGCCTTGTTAAGTGGGCAGATTTATATTTCTACTGCCACAGACAGACAAACACGGCGACCCATCCTGATCTATCATCCGTGCTGGTATGACAGTGCCTGCTGAATTCACACATTTTTGTCTTCGCTCAGGAAGGATGGCTCCAGAGCAAGCTAATTAATCCAGGAGCCAAATCGCTTGCTCACAACTTTAATGCCAGTGACTCACAAAGTAGATTTTCTGCTCCCACAAGACTCCACAGCTTAGAGGGAGTGCTGACCCAAGGTCACCCCAGCAGCTGCATGTGGCAGAGTGGGGAAATCAAACGGAAATCAAACCCGGTTCTCCCAGATTAGAGTCTGCGCTCCTAACCACTACCCCAAACTGACAAGAGATGTTCAGAGGCGGTTTGCCGTTACAGGCCTCTGCATCCCAGCCGAGATATTCCTTGGTGGTCTCCCATCCAAATTGTAACCGGGACCAACCCTGCTTAGCTTCTGAGATTTGACAAGATCAGGCGAGCCCGGGCCATCCAGGTCAAGGCAAGAGATGAAAATGGGTGGTTTGCCATTGCCTGCCTCCATCTCTCGACCCTGGTATTCCTTGGTGGTCTCCCATCCAAATATTGACCAAGGCTGACTCTCCTTAGCTTCCAAGATCTAATGAGATCAGTCTAGCGGCGCTATCCAGGTCAGGGCCATGAGAGAGCTTATTGGAAACCCCCCCCCATCTTCTTAGTCTCCAATCTAGTCATTCACGTAAGCAGGGCTATTTCTGGGCAGGAACGGAGTTCCGGCTGGCTTCCAAGTTGGCCACACCCAGCAGGAACTCATTAGCATAATAGGCCACACCCAACAGCAGAAACTCACTAGGATTGGCTACATTAGGGGTATGTGGCCTAACATGCAAAGGAGTTCCTGCTACAAAAAAAGCCCTGGGTTTTGACAACAAACAAGGTAAACAGAATAAGAAGGGAAAGGTGGGTGTGGCTGGATGACCACACTTCTGGGAACATGGGGGCATGGCCTAATGTGCTAATGAGCGGTGCTGTCAGGGTGTGGCCCAATATGCTAATGAGTTCCTGCTGGGCATTTTCTACAAAAAGAGCCCTGCTAAGGATCAATGCTCCCTCTAAGCTGTGGAGCCTTGTGAGCAAAAATTCTGCTTTGTGAGCTACTGGCATTAAAATTGTGAGCAATCGATTTGGCTACTGCATACATTCGTTTGCTTTGGAGCCCTCCTTCCTGCGCTCAGACAAAACTCTGTGAGCCGGAGGCTAAAAAACTGTGAGCGAGCTCACACTCACTCAGCTTAGAGGGAGCTCTGGTAAGGATCCAGCACCTTTCTGATTATACCACCGGGAGCAAACAGCAATGCCTTGACAAGGACCTCACTTAGCCAATATAACTGAAACGATAAGGCATTAATCAAGGCAGCTCTTTCCTTAGGTCCCCGTGCTCGACCTCCGAGGTTAGGCTGCGGGTTCCATCACAGAGTTTGTGGGTGTTCGAATTGATGGTTTTAATTCTGGGCCCAACGAGGGCTCCATTCCAGTGGAGCTCTTCCAAATTGCCGATTCTATTTACGGAGGGCCTTGGCCTCTCTTTGAGCTCGGTAATTGCCCAGCGGAGCGCCATTCATAACGCTTTCGCCGCTCTCTGCACCCGATAAGATTAGAGCTTTGCATTTATTTTCATTTCAGCCGGGCAGCATCAATATTTATTAACAATGTATTTAGGCTTTTAATGCCCTGCGCAATTTGGAAGTTACAGCAATGATCTGTATTTATGTCTTTGGCTGGGGAAAGCTGGCCGCTGCGTGTTGAAGGTGCTTGCGAAATGAGGAACTGGGTGTGGTAATGCAAATGGAGGACGGGTCCTTGGAGGGAGAAGAAGAAAAGAAAAAGAAGAAGAAGAGGAAGAAGATGATGAGATTGGATTTATACCCCATCTCTTCCCTGGGGAGCTGCCCTCTCCCCAACTAGTTGGACTGGCTGGGGAGGGGAGACACTAGAAGAAGAAGAAGAAGAAGAAGAAGAAGAAGAAGAAGAAGAAGAAGAAGAGGAGGAGGAGGAGGAGGAGGAGGATGAGGATGGATTCATACCCCGCTCTTCACTACCCAAGGGAGTCTCAGAGTGGCTTACAAACTCCTTTCCCTCCCCCTCCCCACAACAGACACTCTGCGAGGTAGGTGGGTCTGAGAGAGCTCTTTCGAGGACTGCTCTGAGAGAATAGCTCTGCGAGAGCTTGTGACTGACCCAAGGTCACACCAGCAGCTGAATGTGGAGGAGTGGGGAATCAAACCCGGTCCTCCCGGATTAGAGTCCGCACTCTTAACCACTACGCCAAACTGGCTTACGCCAAACTGTCTTTCGCCAGACTTTGCAGGTCAAAAGGCTAGTGCACCTGGAGTTCTTTCTGGAAGCAGAAGAGGGGATATGGGACACTGGGTTGGGAAGGGCTTTGGCTCTGCCATAGAGTCTCTGCTTGGTATGCTGAAGGTCCCCGGTTCAGTCCCCAGCATCTCCATTGAAGAAGAAGAAGAAGAAGAAGAAGAAGAAGAAGGGGGGGGGAGGAGATTGGATTTATACCCTGCCCTTCACTCAGAGCGGCTTACAGACTCCTTTCCCTCCCCCTCCTCACCACAGACACCCTGTGAGGTAGGCAGGGCTGAGAGAGTTCTTGACAGAAACGGCTCTTTCACGAACAGCTCTGACAGAACAATGTCCTCCTGCAGCTGTGAGTGGAGGAGTGGGGAATCAAACCCGGCTCTCCCAGATTAGAGTCCGTGCACTTAGCCACTACACCAAACTGGTAGTGGGTGATGGGGAAGACCTCGGCCTGAGACCCTGGAGAGAGCAGCTGCCAGTCTGAGCAGGCAATACTGACCTTGAGTGACCAAGGCTCTGGTTCAGTTTAAGGCAGCTTTGTAGGGAGGGGCCGTGGCTCAGTGGCAGAGCTTCTGCTTGGCATGCAGGAGGTCCCAGGTTCAATCCCCGGCATCTCCGGTTAAAAAGGACAAGCAGGAGATGATGAGAAAGACTTCTGCCTGAGACCCTGGAGAGCTGTAAAGAGGGGGTGTGGCTCAGTGGCAAAGCACCTGAGACCCTGGAGAGCTGTAAAGAGGGGGTGTGGCTCAGTGGCAAAGCACCTGCTTAGCATGCAGGAGGTTCCAGGTTCAATCCCCGGCATCTTCAGTTAAAAAGGACCAGGCAATAAGTGATGGGAAAGACCTCAGCCTGAGACTCTGGAGAGCTATAAAGAGGGGCTGCGGCTCAGTGGCAAAGCCTCTGCTTGGCATGCAGGAGGTCCCAGGTTCAACCCCCAGCATCTCCAGTTTAAAAGGACCAGGCAGGAGGTGATGAGAAAGACTTTTGCCTGAGACCTTGGAGAGCTTTAAAGAGGGGCCGTGGCTCAGCGGCAGAGCCTCTGCTTGGCATGCAGGAGGTCCCAGGTTCAATCCCCAGCATCTCCAGTTAAAGGACAGGTAGTCGGTGATGGGGAAGACCTCGGCTTGAGACCCTGGAGAGCTGCTGCTAGTCTGAGCAGACAATACTAACCTTGATGGACCAAGGCACTGGTTCAGTTTACGGCAGCTTCATGTGTGTGTTACAATTTATTGCTCAGTAAATGGAGAAGTGTGATGTGATCGGGGGAAAAGAACAAAGAAAACATTCCCCTGTAATATATTATGTACCTGAACCGAATTTACAAAAAAGGTTATGCCAAGTCATGTTGGAGCAACACCAAAAGTTACAAATTGTGTGCTCTGTTTTCCGCAATTTCTCTGGTAGGTGTAATGGACGGAAGCGGAATGAGATGAGTAACGATTTGGCAGACTCCTCAGACGAGCACATTTATTAAGTGGAGTGCCGGAGAGCTTTCTGTATTTAAGGCTCGCCGTTGAGCACATGCACTCGGGGTCAGGGTGAAGTGCAGGTTGCTAAGGGAACACGTGTGCGTACAGGACTGTGAGAGGTGCACCGCAGCCGGAAACGTTCCTGACCGAGTTTCATTCTGGTGAATTAGCAGACTGTATCAGAGCCCTGTTTGATGAGGACAGAGGTCCCCTTCGCTGCTTTCAGACTTCTTCCACCCAGCCAATAATCTTGCAGCGAGGAGGGGGAAGGTCACCGACTCTCTTTTCCATTCTGGTCACCCTTCTCTCAAAAAGGAGATCGCAGAGCTGGGAAAAGTACAGAAGAGAGGAAGCGAGATGGTTGAGGGGGTTGGAGCCCCTTCCCTTGCCCCAGCCTGAGTGTTCCTGTCTATACCTTGTGGCTAATAGCCACGGATGGATCTCTGCTCCATATGTTTATTCAATTCCCTCTTGAAGCCGTCCATGCTTGTAGCTGCCACCACCTCCTGCAGCAGTGAATTCCAAGTGTTAATCACCCTTTGGGTGAAGAAGGACTTCCTTTGATCCGTTCTAACCCGACTGCTCAGCAGTTTCATGGAGTGCCCACGAGGTCTTGTAATGTGAGAAAGGGAGAAAAGGACCTCTTTCTCTACCTGCTCGATCCCAGGAATAATCGTATAAACCTCAATCATGTCACTCCTCTGCCATCATTTCTCCAAGCTAAAGAGTCCCGAGCGTTTTAACCTTTCTTCATAGGGAAAGTGTTCCAACCCCTTTATCATTCGAGTTGCCCTTTTCTGCGCTTTCCCCAATGCTATAATATCCTTTTTGAGGTGTGGTGACCAGAACTGTACACAATACTCCAAATGAGGTCGCACCATTGATTCATACAGGGGCATTACGATACTGGCTGATTTGTTTTCAGTTCCCTTCCTAATAATCCCTAGCATAGCATTGGCATGGGGCTGATTCCGCACTAAAGCGTTGCTCTCCATTCTCCCCGGGTCTCATTGGCCTGATTCTGTGGGAGGAGTTCCGCATTAAGGAACTCTGACCCAGGTTTGTCGCCTTGTTCCGAATCTAGCACCCCTCCCCTCTCTTCCCCCTCCCTTTTTTTTTGATCAGCGGCGTGGTTGCGTTGTAATGCACCCACCCACTGGAAAACAGGTGTGCTTTACGCATATGTGTAGTTGCGTTGTGCCAGGTCGAAAAAGGGAGGGGAAAGGAAGAGGGGAGGCGGTAAGGGAGGGGGAGGGGGGAGGGAGAGAAGCAGACATGCCAGGCAACACATGTCACCCCCGCGAAAATTGGGTCCACACCACCATGCCACCCTCAATGCATATTTCTAACAGCTATACTACAGCCTGTAGGTTAGCCCCACGAAAAATGTTGACCATGCCTCCATGTCACCCTTAAAGCATTTTTTAAAAAAACAATGGCACTACTTTTGTACAAATAGCGATGTGCAACACAGAAATGGGGAAACTGCTGAGCAGTCGGGTTAGAACGGATAAAAGGAAGTACTTCTTCACCCAAAGAGTGATTAACACATGGAATTCACTGCCACAGGAGGTGGTGGCGGCTAAAAGCATGGACAGCTCCAAGAGGGAATTAGATAAGCATATGGAGCAGAGGTCCATCAGTGGCTATTAGCCACAAGGTATAGGTAGGGACTCTGGGGCAAGTGATGCTCTGTCATCTTGCTGCTTGGGGGGGGGGTCAACAGTGGGAGGGCTTCTAATGTCCTGGCCCCACGGGTGGACCTCCTGATGGCACTGGTATTTCTGGCCACTGAGTGACAGAGTGCTGGACTGGATGGGCCTTTGGCCTGATGCAACATTGGCATCTCTTATGTTCTTATGTTCTTATGAAACAGCAGACGTACATTTAAAAGGACATTTAAACGCCAGTCAACGTAGGATCAGTATTGTGTCGCAACGCAACAC